GACATTCTTCTAATACAGGCTAGCAGCACTTGTGGCAGAGCAAGTGGTATGAGTGGGGATGAACTGGGCCCACTTGCCATAGAGGTCCACTACCACTATGATTGCATTGTTTGGGAGCTCAACAATGAAGTCTACTAATGCAACACTCCAACTTGCTGCTGTGATGGGAAGAGGGTGGAGCTAGCCCATTTGAGGCTGATAGCAGGACTTGACCTGGAGACAGGTCACAGGTGCCAATGTAGGTACCAATATAGCAAGACATCTAGGGCCTCCAGTAATTCTGAGATACAAGCTCCAGTATCTTCCACCAGCCAGGGTACCTGTAAGGGCAACCTCCAGGGTGGCAGATTGGAGTCATGCAGCTAGCAGAGGGGAATCCAAAGTATATTAGCAAGAGTAGACAATGATACAATCAGTCACTAATCACCTAGCAGAGGGGAATCCAAAGAGAACAAGTCTAAGGATCCCCACTGCTCAGCACAATGCATCAGTGGGTGGCAGAGGCATGGGAACTACTGTACAGAAGGCTGGAGCTAGTCCTAACCCTAGGATGATGACCTGACAGTGCCCTGCTACCCATGAGTTGTAGTGCTGCTCTATGATGTCTTGATGGAGCTCAAGACTATCAGGAACATAGATATGCACTTGAAAGATCACAAGCCCATCTTGCAAAGCCCACTTGTCCACATGCACTGACTTGACATACCTAGCTCATTGAGTCTGCAGGACCTGAGCAGCCTGTGCTACTGCATCTTCTTGCACATCCTCTCAGTTCTCCCATCAGACATTCTTCAGGATGTTTGCCTCATCTCCTTGGACCACAATCCTTCAAGAGGATGAAGAGCAAAGAGTGGCAGTTTGAGGAGGACAATGTTGTCATCTTCACCAGTCCTATTACAATGATACACTTGACAGGACAGCAGGGTCATATTACCTGATTTACTCTCTATTAAGGGGTAACAGATCTGTAACATTAGAGAGTCTAGGTTATAATTATACCATTATATTTTCCATTAACTGTCTTGTATTTGTTCAAGTCTGGAGAGTGCAAGTTCAATTTTTCTTTTCCAAGGGTGCCAAGTCCTGCTTTGGGATGTCCTGGTTACTTTGAGAACAGTAGTCATAGCCTAGTTTGGACTTTGTCTCTGGGTTGCTTGAGGGTACTTGTACTCTGATCATTTTCAAATAGTTGTCCAGCTTGCCCATGCTCCTTCCAGGTTTGTGATGCAGTGAGAAGTCAAAGTTAGCCAGGTACAATGACCATTGAGCTTGGTGTTGATTGAGTTCCTTTGTCATGCAGAAGTCCTCAAGGTTCTTGTGGTCTGTCCAGACTTCAAACTTGTGCCAGGTACCCTTGAAAAAATGCTGCCATTCTTCAAATGACCAAATGATGGCTAGCATGCCCTTGTCATGGATATTATAGTTCTTCTCCTCTGCATTGAGGCTCTTGGAGTAGAAGGTTATGGGATGCCACTTACTGTCCTCCTTAGACTGCTGGGAGAGAACTGCTCCTGTGGCAAAGTCTGAGTTGTCAGCCTCTACCTGAAAAGGAATGTCACCATCAGGAAAGAGGAGGACAGGCTCGGAGGTTATAGCTTGCTTGAGGGCATCAAATGTGGCTTTCTTTTGGGACTCCCATTTCCAGGCTGTGTCTTTGACAGTGAGGTCAAAGCTAGGAAGGGCATAGTGAGAGGAATCCTAGATGAACCTCCAGTGAAAGTTAGCAAAACCTAAGAAGGCTTGGACTTCCTTCTTGTTCTTTGGCACAGGCCACTTCTGTAACCCTAGCCACCTTGACCAGGTCCATCTCAACCATACCATGCAAGATGATCAAGCCCAGATGCTCAACCCAGGACATCTCTGGCTTGAGATGGAGTTGGTGATGGCAGGGGTGCTCCAGGATGATGTGTGTGATTTGACAACACACTCAAATTTAGGGTAGGAACCTTTCATAATCATAATCACTACACTTGCACTGAACCATCATCATATTATCCACAGTCACTCTTGAGCATCAAGAGACATGGGACTTCAGTGGCAGCAACAACAAATTTCATTCACGGTGCAAGATCAATCACGTTGAGGCAAGCCGCGGCTCGCAGGCAATGTCACAGTGAGGTACTAGGCGATGTCATGGTTTGAATACTTTTCATTAACAGTCGGTGGTGTCCTGTGCTGGCTTGATTGTCGCACCAGGATTTAATCATTTCTACTTTGTTGGTCGATAAGTAGGAATTGCATTCTCAACGGTCCGGGATCAACAGGAAATTGCCGATTGCGTTGAGAAAAACGAACTTCGTCCAATACACGACATCTCTTCCTCTAAGCGAGATGGTTTCTACACCACCAGTTCCAGAGAATTCCGTACCACCTTTTAATCCCCATCTCTATCATATCGTGGCAGGACAACTGTTTGACTCTGTCTCGAGAAATCTTCTTCCGTTGCAGGCTATCACGATCAGCAGAGAAACGGGTATCATACTCCAAGTACAGCCGATTACAGATTTCAGAGCAATGTGGATACACCGTAATTCACCATCTTATCGTGACGAGATTATTGACCTGCTGCATCTCACTATCCTTCCTGGCTTTGTTGACACACACGTTCATTGTATGTGTTCAGGTTGATCACTTGCGCGGAGACTTTAACTTGATGTCAGTCTTCCTGCACTCATATGAAGAAACATCGTGGAATGACCAGGTAACCAAGGAGAGTCTGCGTGAACGCACATTACGAGCGGGTGTCCACGCTCGAAAGACTCTTATGGCAGGTTACACGACTGTTCGGTAAGATGGTAATCTTCACAGAGGGATTGCTCATATATCTTCGATACCAGTGATCTAGCAAATGAGGGAGCAGAAGATGCTGATATCGCACTACGGAAGTGTCTTGTTATCCTGCCCGGAAAGAAGGAGCCTATCATTGTAGGACCGAGGTACTATTGCTCTACTCGGGCAATTGCCTCTACCGGAAGTCTCGGTAAGGATCATAACTTGAATATATTTTGCACAGATTTAGCTTGGTCTTGACCGTGGGCTCGATCATAGGTCCAAAAAGTAACCTTTTCCCATCACGAAGTGGGATCGAGGGAATTACTGGTGCTGAGGTGGCGGATGGAATCGAGGAGTGTATCAAAGCTGTACGAAGACAAATCGGTGCTGGTGCAGACTGGATCAAGGTATATTCCTGTAGATGACTGGGTGCTTTCGATACTGAACAGGAAGTAATTGTATCTACAGATCTATGCAGGTACGTTTGGTCGCTTGATTCAATTTACTGATTGAGATCAATGTGTGATACAGACTATATGTTTCGGTCGTGCATGGCGGACGTGTCATCACACATAGGCGGGTCGCATTTTCCTCTATTTACAAGAGACGAGTTGAAAGCGATGATAGACTGTGCTCACAGTCTAGGCGTCAAAGTCGCTGTGCATGCTCATACAGGTGAAATGATTGAACAACTCCTCGAACTTGATGTAGACAGCATTGAGCACGGGGCAGAGCTCTTTGACGAGGAACGAGGATTCTCGCTTCTCAAAAAATGGGCTGAAGTGGGGAAGAAAACCTTCTGGGTACCGACGCTATCTGTGTATTACCACATCCTTAAATGGAGTGGATCTAGGTTATCGATAGACTGGGAACGTGCCCAGGAGTCATTCAAGAAGGTTCTAGAATTCAGAGATGCCGAGGCGGCGAAGGGCAGACTTGATGCGATTAAAATATCGTGTGGTGGAGACACAGGTCCTTTCCCGCATGGAGAAAATGGATTGGAGATGGCATTGATGCGGAGGTTAGGTGCACGATGGGAAGATGTTCTTTCGTGGGTGACCTTGAGAGGGTGGGAGTGCGTGAGAGGTATGGAGTGGGAAGGTTCCCAGGGGGATGCGAAAGTTGCGCAAGCAGAGGCAAAGTCAGAAATGAGTGAAGGCTTGAATGACGCGTCCAAGTCGAGGCTGGAGAGGGGAGTGCCATTTGGTACAGTTCGGACTGGTTGGGCTGCAGATTTGGTTGGTGTGGAAGGAATAGTGGATGGCACAGTGGAAGACTTTGAAGAGACTATTATGCATGGCGTCAGGTTTGTCATGAGGGGAGGGACTGTGTATATGAGAGATGGGAAAGAAGTCTTGTGATTCCAGTTGTCTGTAACCGAGTTGCCTTCAAAATAGTTCTTGATGCAGAAAAAAATAATCTAAACATCAATATCGAGCTAGGCCTTGCAAGTTTGATCAATGGGCCCATGTCTAAACGAAGGATAGTAATCCGCCAACAAGCCTTACTCAAGCACGACCTGCAGACATCTTTTCCATATTAGATTGGGGAGGTGAACGTTTAACGTGATTTGGTGAGGTTACAGAACCTCGAGAGTTACGGTATCTGTCCATGCATGTCACGGTGATGTTAATTGCAAGTGCTGTGTCTGTTTTTGTTTGTATCAGAGTCTTTTGAACATCTTACAGAGCATATTAGAACATCAAGTAGCGTTGAAGTGGCGTGAAGTAACATTGCACATGATCTCTTGTCGTATCCCAACATGATTATTAGATATTCTTCTCTAGCTAGCTGTCTCGAAGTCCGTTCTAGACCTATTAGCAACTCCACAACAGTATCGTGGCCTCCGTGGCCTCCGGGAACGGACTCGGGCATGGCATGAGGAACATTATCATAGTTTGATAGACAATGTAAGGAATACGCACATTGAAAAATCAATGAATCAACTCTAAGAAAGGTCGATACGCACAGAACTGATAAGAAGGATGTCACAGAAAGACAGTGCTGGCGATTTGTGCTCAAAATTTCACATTTCTGACAAATACTTGGACAGGAGATGAGTCTTCTCTATCATCATCGATGTCTGTAACACTCGCAGAAAGCAGTAAATGACAGAATAGGTCTTCAAAATTTGGAGAGAAATTTCATTCAAATTTTGATCGCGAGGGTGCGAAGAGGTCACGCTGAAATTGACGGTAAGTAGAAGCAACACGTATGATTTTCGATGGGCATTAATGGGGTAGTGGTAACCTGGGTCGTTGCCACAAGTGCAGCAAATCTCGACCCGCCGGGGGTTCGATTCCCCCTTAATGCAATACGATTGATGATCTTTCCATTTTCCCCCCGCTGTCTAACGGCTCCTACCTTGCCTTGTCGAATGACATCAGCAACCTCGTAATAAATGACTTTGGCTCCAGGTCACGGTACTCGACAGCATTCAATCTAAAGCCTCCACCTCAGTTGGCACCACCTGTCCACGACAACCATAGTCTCAGCGATTGACCATCCTCGGCCTTCCAGGACACTCATAAGTAGGGCAACCAGGATCACCGTCGACAGATACCGTTCTTCCCACGACTTGCCACCCATGTTTCTTGCCTCCTCCCCAGTATACGAGCAAAGAGTGCGTTCCTGTCCTTTAAGCATCCCCCCTTTCACATATTAACATATGCGCTTTCTCCCGTGTATAGGCGCGGATACAGAAACCAGCAGGCGCCATATGGTGATGATGACCATGGGCAATCCTATCCTCAGCAGCATACGCCGTACCGCAATCTACTCACAAAGATAATACTAGTACTCCACCCTAGCATCAGTTCCTCGAAGCTGCAGGACTTGATCTTGGAAACGAATTATGAAATATCATTTTGAACCACCATGAAGAACCCTCCCTGAATCTGTCTGATATGCAACCACAGTGAGGCGAAGGAGGGGAAGGTGTATATGGGGGGTATGTTGATGAGTATGGACGAGGAATTGGGAGGAGGAAGGGGGGAAACAAGTCGAGCATGTGGCTGATGTGAGGGAGCTCTTATATGAGGTCTCCAGAAATCCGTTGAGTGGTTTTTTTCGCTGCTGTGGCTAAGTAGTGTGTTGGCGAGTGCTGATTGGATGCCAATTGATTTTTCTGGTGAGTGTAGATCGCGAACACGTAAATGCGCCTCGTCACTATTGTCGCTCTAATTTATCTCTTGTTCGCTCCTTGATGGGATAAGAAAAAACTTGAGCTTGTACATGTGCTGTACAGTTTTGTATGTAGTACTCATAGGATGCCCTCCTCGTTCTCTCTCCTCGCCCTTGCTCTTGTACTTGACCTCAAATCTCTCAAATCCTTGTTCACATGCTCAGCTTCCCCTCGATGCTGCCTGATACTTCCGGCTTTTTTCTTCGGTTTCGCTCTAGGGTCGCGTGGGAAATGATGTATCTGCTTGTCATAGATTTATTTCATACTGTACGTACAGTTCCAACACAGTACGTCCTTGGCCCCAAACCAGAACGCCGATTTTTCCCTGGAAAGCAGCTGTCAAAAGGATTTTTCCGCTTAGAGGATGGACACATGCTAAAGGATTTCCACGGGAGTACGTATGTTTTGTGAGATATATACTTATACGAGAGACTCATGCATCTATCCTTGTAGAGTTATATGGTTCAGAAGAATCTATGGATGGCAGGAACAACGTAAAAATCACCGTCTTCGAACCAAAATTAACTATCGTGGCCTTCTTCAGCTTCTTCGGGCCGAAATCCTGACTCTGTGCATATGCGCACGTTCATACCACAGATACCTTCTAAGTGCACTCATGCTTATTTGTCCCTCATCGCTCCTTTTTGTCTATGTTGAATGTTTCTTTGTCGTGTTTTCATCCAGTCTCATCCTTGCTATGCTTCCTGATACAGATACAATGAAACGGGTTTGCTTCTGCGTCCTGCAGCTTGTATTGCCTCCGGTCAACCTCCGTAAAGGCGATCACCCGCCTTGAGGTTTACCATACCAACGTCAGTCCTAGGACAATGGAAGACTGATCGATGATTTCCTAGTCAAGTAATTGTGTTTTGGTGCGGCCAAGACCACATAGCGCCTTTTGAACTGTTTTGATTAGTAAAAGTTCTTCCAGTCGGGCTGATAATTTTATAGCAACCCAGCGAGAAATTTCCTGTAGTTAGTTTCTCTCGTACCGCTCACTGTATAGTTAGACTTTGAGAATTTACCAACAGCATCGTCTATGAAAAAGTTTTTACTTTCTTCTGAGTCGGGCCCTAATTGGACGAGACATCTCGACTATATTTGTAGCTCCTCAACGTCAATAGGATCTGACCTTGGCAACAACAAGGTTTTTTATGCTTTACATTCCTGGGTATACAAATTCTACTCTCTGTACGCAGCCATGGTTACTACTACAAAGAGACAAAGGAATAAGTGAAATGGAACAAGCCGCATAACTTCATATGACAATTGTACTAAGGAGTTTGTATAATAGACTCAGGGCCGAGCTATCGGCGCACATCTGTCACATCATCGCTGATACTTCTCACCATCCAACCTTCCTCGTTTCTTTATTAGAACTTCACACGGCGTTCGATCCCATCTCGCGCCACCGTTTTCAAGGTCATACACAAGCTCGGTCATTAAAATGACAGGTAGCATACAGCGGGCTATGACAGGTAGCATACCGCGGATATAAGAGGAGAGGCCATCTGTATCTATGCAGATTCTACAGACAACCTAACTTTCGCCCAGGCATAGCCGACTCATATCATGATCGATCCCGATACCCCCTCTTCCCTTCTCCCGCTGGACAAGGAGGAAATTCCTAATAATGTAAATATCCCGAACTGTAGCAAAGATGAATTCGACTGCGATGCCACCCGCGAAAGGGTCTGGCGGAGAATTGATGTTTTCATCTTGCCAGTCATAACGGTGTTTCAACTACTGGCGCTTCTAGTAAGTATTTTGTGGGCCTCGTTAAAACCGCGGAGCTCAATATATCTACCACTCAGGACCTAGGTAATATAGCAAACGCACGAATCGCGGGCCTGCAGGAAGATTTGATGTTGAGCAACCATCAGTTCACTATCGTACTAACTACTTCTGCTCTTTCTATCCTTCTGGGGGAGATCCCTGCAAGTCTTCTTCTCCGAGTATGTCCAAATATTTCCTGAAGGGAGCCAGCTAACTTTATGCAGGTTATTGGGCCAAGGATCATGTTACCTACGATGCTGACGCTATGGGGACTTGTAGTAACTCTTCAAAGTTTGTGAATATCCTAGCACTCATCAAGTCATCAGGATTATGACCCCTACCCTCTAGGGTTCGTAACGCAGTACTCAGAGTTACTGGCCTGTCGTTTTCTACAAGGTCTGTGTGATGGTGTGTATCTTTTTCCGGGGGAATTATGTTGTTGTTTAACCGACAATACTTTCCAGGAGGCTCCGTCGCAACCATTATTCTCTACCTTTCCTTTTGGTACCCTCGTCGCCAGTTGCAGTGGAGGTTCGACAAACTAGTCATGGCCTAGAAATTGCATCTGACCTAGTTGAACAGGCTTTCACTCGTCGGGGTAATAGCATCCTTAGCAGGTGCATTCTCGGGTCTCCTGGCATATGCCATAATTCGAATGGATGGGCTCGGACAACGCCCGGGTTGGGCCTGGATCTTCATTCTCGAGGGTCTCCTGAGCATTGTATTCGGTCTGTTGATGTTCTTCATTCTTCCACATTCTCCTGCACGTGCCTTCTTTTTAAATAATGACGAGAAGCATTATGTTATCTCCCGACTTCGAGAAAGTGGAGCAATAGCCCGCAATGACGAGACAGATGCATTCAACTGGCGGGAAGTTGGCAATGCTTTCACCCTTCCCCACGTTTGGTTGGTCAGCTTGATCTCCTTTTTGACTGGTGAGCTAGACTCTGATAAACTCATTGTTTGCTTAGACTAACAATACGATAACGACAGGTACTATTCAGATCGGCCTTGGGTAGTAAGTAGAGAATTCCTACATATATACACATTCTATAATTCATTATCAACTAGCTTCACACCATCCATCGTCGCGAGCTTGGGATATACTCGGGTACAAGCACAACTATTCAGTGTACCGCCGGCAGTCGCAGGATTCTTTGGTAAGATAATATCTGTCATTAGCCATGTTTACGCGCTTGCTTATGCACCGATCTATCTTATAGTTACTCTGATTACGGCATATCTTTCAGATCGTTTTGGGGCTCGTGGATTGAACATCATGTTTTCCTCGACTCTCATGATTATTGGTCTTGCCATTTTCCTTGGTTTGTACACTAGCGTTTTCTCTCTGTCAAGTTAGCTTATTGATTTTCCTCAGTCTCACAATCTTTACGCGTTAAATATGGCAGTCTCTTCCTACTCGTTTCTGGTTCTCGTAGTGTCTCCCCTGCGATCTCTGCGTGGAATGCGAACAATGTCACTCCGTATATTCGTCGTGCAACTTCAGTTGCTATTACGAGCGTCATGGTTGGCGCGGGTGGTATTCTTGCAACGTGGCTCTTTGTATCACTCTCCAAGAACGTTATCATAACGTTGCTCGTCTTTTCAGTCTTTGCTTGGATAATCTCTGGCATCAATATCGCCTATTTGAGAACTCAAAATAAGAGGAAGTCAGGAATTAGAACCACAACTGCACCCGAGAATGAGCCTCCCGGGCTTGGCGACCGCTCTGCTTGGTTCATATACAGCTTATGAATTCAGAAGTACAACAATAGTATGTATTGTATATTCCAATTCTTGCAGTCAGTTTGGATCAGCCGTTACATATATTGTGATAGCTGGAGAGAGGAGGGCCTTGGTTTCCAGGAAGCGAATGCAAGATATTTTGTCCTATACAAAGTTACGACAATGTCCTTCTCTCATTGAGGTACTCATAATTCAATGCATACATACTCTGAGTGTTTCCACACCACAGATCCCCATCTAAACTCTGTAATACTGTTTTCTGTTTCTGCATTCAGATATCTGCATAATGCTACTTTGCAAAATCTATCATTTAGAATACTATGCTCTTCAAATGATAAGTCGATTTGTCTAACAAAGCACAGTTCACTAGGTAATTTACTTTTGAATTGGGATGCCTCCATAGAATTTGAAATTGGCATTTTTCTGTGGCTAGTCTCTTGGAGGGTACAAATCAAATCTGTATCATGCCCAGCATATCTCTCATCCGTGAGAGCCTATGTGCTGGATCAAAGTGTGACTCCAAAAGAGGGGAAGGACTGTTGCAAGCAGAGAGAATGTATATGAGGTGAGAGCTTGTGGTGTCTTCTGAGATGGACCGCCCGTCAGTG